GGGGCTCCGTTCACCTCACCAGCTAACAGAGAATAAATCACTGTACCGTTTTGTCTCCAGTCGGGGTCTCGAGCACTAACGGAACATAAAGTGGAGCCAGCTTTGTTATTTTCACTCACATATGCGCTGTAGGACTGTTCCTCAAACACAGGTGGGTTATCGTTGATATCAGCTACAGATAAGTGAACAGTTTTAGAGGAGGACAGAGGTGGAGAGCCCTCGTCAGTGGCGCTGATTGTAATGTTGTAATCAGACACTAGTTCACGGTCCAGCTGTCCTGTGCTCACCACAGAATAATAGTTTTTAATAGAAGGAACCAACTTAAAAGGAACGTTCTGCTGGATGGAGCAGCGCACCTGTCCGTTAATATCTGAGTCTCTATCCTGCACGTTAATGATACCCACCTCTGTACCAGGTGGCACGTTTTCTGTTATTGGGTTCATGAGAGATTTCACAAAAATCACTGGTGCGTTATCATTGACATCAGTAATATCAATAACTACTTTGGAATCAGATGAAAGCCCGTAACCGTCTTTAGCGTTGATGCGCATTTCATATTTGTTGTTACTCTCGAAATCAAGCTGCCCTGTCAGTTTTATTTGCCCCGTGTTACTGTTCAGCGAGAAAACCTTTTTAGCTCTCTCTGAAATGCGGCTGAAGTCATACGTCACCTCCCCATTAACTCCCTCATCTGCATCCGTGGCACRCACTGTTACAACCACAGTATCGAGCGCTGAGTTTTCTGGTAAACTGGCTTTGTAAACAGCTTGATCAAACACAGGTGCGTTGTCGTTTGCGTCCAGAACAGTAACCTGGATATTTACAGTCCCTGATTTCTGTGGAGTTCCACCATCAGCTGCAATCAGAGCGACATTTATCTCCCGCTCCTTCTCACGGTCTAACTCTTTGTCTAACAGCAGCTCAATGTTTTTATTTCCATCAGCATAATCTCGGACAGACAAAACAAAATGCTCATTGTCTTGTAAAGTGTATTGTTTGACTGCATTGTGTCCTATGTCTGCGTCGTGTGCTTCACTGATACGATACCTCGCTCCTTTCACAGCCGATTCACTTATTTCTAATTTTACTGTATCTTTAGGAAAAAAGGGCGAATTGTCGTTTACATCTTGGATGAGCAGAGTAACGCGGTGCAGCTCCAAAGGGCCCTCCAGCACTAATTCAAATTTCAGCAGGCACGACACCTTCTCCCCGCACAGCTCCTCCCTGTCGATCTTTTCCCGGATGATCAAATTCCCCGACTCAGGGTCAAGATCGCAGAAATGCTGCGAGTTGTCCTGGGTGTCAAGCCGCGGTTTGCGAGTGAAGAACTGTCTCACTTCTAAACCAAGATCCTTGGCAATATTTCCAACAATGGATCCGGGCCTCCTCTCCTCCGGAGCTGAGTAGCTCAGGTCTGCAGCGGCGATCCGGACACAAAAAGCAAAGCCGCACACGAAATGCAGCAATGACCTCCGTTTGATGCCCATTTTTTTCATTGAAATTTTAAAATAAATGAAAAAAATCCAACAGAGCAATCAGCTCTTAAATGTTTAAACAGACGTATACTGACGCTGTTGCTACAACAATGGCAGTCCTGCTGTTTTGATGCATGTCTGCTTTGCAGTGGGTGGAGAACTGAACCTCCTCATATCTGCGGGTGAATGGCGACTCCATGAGTTTAACTTGAATAATACAAAGCCTAAAACGCATATTGATGCAATGGTTATTGTCAAGAACAAAAGACAACACTGGACGTTGGTGTGAAGAAGTGAAATTAGGCTGCAGTTGTTGAAAATAAACAAATCGCACAGATTTAAGTTCAGCACCATGAACAGCGTCTGAAATGCAACAGGCTGATGAAACACAGGAGATACACCTTTTCTTCCTTCTTGCCTTTTTTACATCTATTTTCTTTCATACAATGAACTATTAGGTACATGTTCATATATTAAAATAAAATGTCATTATTCTCTTGTTTTGTAAAATGAAAATACAAAATTATTGAAGCATTCATAGCTGATCATCAATTTAAACCCAACACCATGTAAACATGTATTGAAAAAAATCCCTTAAATATGCAAAATCTAATTTTGATTAATAAAACATTTAGTTTACTTTATTTGTTTATTTATCATATTATGTACAGTAAATCAAAGTCAATTATGTACTGTAGATTATAGAGTTATCAGCTAATTTCCATATGCAGTCTCTTGTGAGTTTGCTTTCTGTGATGTTACATAAGGGGGTGGTGGTGAGGGGATGTCAACGACAGACAGATAGGAGGGACAGATGTTCAGATAGAAAATAATATCGCAGGTAAAATTAAACTTTCAATTTAAAGCTTAATACGTTTGGGCCTTAGAGTGAAATATTTAAACAAACAACAACAGCCTTTCTCTTGTAGCATGAAAAAGGAAAATGCATGTTTCAACTGGTGTCTCAGAAGAACAAACAGTAAACAATGTCATGACATGGAAACTTAATGAAGGAATTCTTGATTATTTTTTTCCCCACTGGTAAAAGAGTATTTTGTATGTATTCCAAATATTGTACATCCATGTTTTGCACAAGATGAAACATTATGGCAGCATAAATGTACAGAGTCATGCTTGAACTCCCTGCAACATAAGCACATTGCATATCATGTTTATATTACCATTTTATCATTTAATAAACAAATTTATAGGGCGGTGATAAATACAAATAAGCACAGAATATTCAAAAATAACTGTCAATATTAAAAAGAAAACATAGAGCTAACATCATAAAATTGCTTTGAAACACACTCTAAAAATGAAATGTTGGATTTACTTWACCATTTTATGTTACCTGGTTCCACGTAACTGAGTTGAGTAAATTCAAAGCAACATATGTTCTTTGGCCAAAAAACTGGTATATTGCTTTGAATTTACTCAACTCAGTTAAGTGGAATCAGGTGACATAACATGGTTAAGTAAAACCAACATTTCATTTTTTACAGTGCAAATGTGATATAGTTCAGCTCAGACATGTCACCGATGAAGAACTTTTACGTTGTGACAGATAAAATGTTGGGCTTTGGTAACTGCAAAAACTATGAACATATTTTACGACAAGAAAAAAAAGAAGATTAAAAATGTCAAAATTCGATAAACAGTTTATCAAAGTGATGTAATATGAAAAAATACTTTCAGAACTAAAACTAGTACTAAAAAAATTGGGTTCAGAAAAAATAGAAACCAATAACCCCAAATGAATTTAAWTTTTTTGAGACGTTAATAAAATGGATATTGGCCAATAAACTGGGAGACTAACAAAAAAAGAACTAGCTTCCCAGTCTATTGAAAAAAGGGAAAAAAAATTCAATAGATTTTTCATGCTGGAAAAACATGTACAGAAAAAATTGAAATGAAAAATACTTAAAATCAATTAAAATAACAACACACTAAATTATATATATATATATATATATATATATATATATATATATATATATATATATCAGTATTTATAGACCTGAGTCTTATTTATTCAGCCTGAACAACAAAACCTGTGATTCTCAGCACCATGGCCAGCGACTAAAGCCACAGCGACCATTGAGCAAATCTTCAGAAAAAGATGTGTTGCGCTAGGAGTTAAAATTTATTTAAAAATTCTTTACTAGAAAAGAATACCTAGACAAATGCGCTTAAAATATAGTTTGAATGAAATAAAAAGGAAGTGAACATGACTGCACTGTTAAAAGAACGTAATCAGAACAAGTTTATACGAATAAAATTAGTTCCTACCTCAGGAGAACTGTCACTGCCTCCAAACACATCAGCAAACTCAGTTGGACTTTTCTTCAGAGTGTGGTCAGCAGGCAYCGTGTTGTCATTGTAAGATGAGACAAACTTAAAGTCACTGGTTCTAGATCCTGTTGTCAGGTACGCGTCATAATTGTAAGAGCTGCGTAAAGTTCCTGTGCCGTCAACATCTGCGTAATTAGGAGGGAGGTAAGCGCCGGGGATGGCAACTGCTCCATCAAACAACAGTCTGGGCTTTCTCCTGCGACAGAACCTCACACCCAGGATGATMATGATGAAGGTCAGGAAGAAGGTGGACACGCACACCAGCGCGATGATCAGATATGACGTCAGTTTGGAGTTRTTCTCCTCATAAGAKATATCTTTCAGTTCTGGCACCTCAGCCAAGTTATCAGAGATCAGTAAATACATGGCGCACGTGGCAGACAGAGAGGGCTGTCCGTTATCTTTCACTGCCACAATCAGGTTCTGTTTCATGCTGTCAGACTCAGAAACGTCCCGCTGCGTCCTGATCTCTCCGCTGTGCAGACCAATAGTGAAAAGTCCCGGATCAGTGGATTTGACTATATGATAGGACAGCCAGGCGTTCTGTCCGGAGTCCGCGTCCACCGCGATCACTTTGGACACCAGAGAGCCTCCGTGTGCAGCTTTGGGGACCAGCTCGGTCATGAAHGAGCTGCCCTCCGGGGCGGGGTACAGGATCTGAGGYGAGTTGTCATTCACATCCGATATGAACACACTCACGCTCACGTTGCTGCTGAGCGGAGGAGACCCGTTGTCTCTGGCCATCACGTGCACTTTAAAGCTCCTGAACTGTTCATAATCAAACGACCTGACAGCGTGGACCACCCCCGTGTCTCCGTTAACAGACACATAGGAGGACACCGGGGCTCCGTTCACCTTATCAGCTAACAGAGAATAAATCACTGTACCGTTTTGTCTCCAGTCGGGGTCTCGAGCACTAACGGAACATAAAGTGGAGCCAGCTTTGTTATTTTCACTCACATATGCGCTGTAGGACTGTTCCTCAAACACAGGTGGGTTATCGTTGATGTCAGCTACAGATAAGTGAACAGTTTTAGAGGAGGACAGAGGTGGAGAGCCCTCGTCAGTGGCGCTGATTGTAATGTTGTAATCAGACACTAGTTCACGGTCCAGCTGTCCTGTGCTCACCACAGAATAATAATTTTTAATAGAAGGAACCAACTTAAAAGGAACGTTCTGCTGGATGGAGCAGCGCACCTGTCGGTTCTTCGCAGAGTCTCTGTCCTGCACGTTAATGATGCCCACCTCTGTACCAGGTGGGATGTTCTCAGGTATGGGGTTCATCAGTGATTTCAAGTAAATAACTGGTGCGTTGTCATTGACATCAATTACATCAATTAACACTTTTGCATATGAGGTCAACCCTAAACCATCTTTAGCTTGTATACTCATTTCAAACGAACTGATTTCTTCAAAATCAATTTCACCTGTTACTTTGATTTCACCTGTTTTTGAATTAATGGAAAATAAATTCACATCATCATCAGTCGCGTGTCCAAATTGGTAAGTCACTTCTCCATTCACTCCTTCATCTGCATCAGTAGCACTAACAGTAACCACTACAGTATCTAAAGGTGAGTTTTCAGGCAGACTGACTTTATAAACAGCCTGACTGAACACTGGGGCGTTATCATTAGCATCCAGCACAGAGACATGAATAACTACAGTACCTGATCTCTGAGGAGATCCACCGTCTAAAGCTGTGAGGAGCAAACTGATCTCTTTTTGTTTTTCTCGATCAAGTTTGTTTTCAAGTACTAGTTCAGCATTTTTGTTGTCAAGAGCTAAAATAAAATTGTTGTTTTTTTGAATGACATATTTCTGCACATCATTCTGGCCTATATCTGCGTCATTGGCTACTTCTATTGCAAAACGTGCACCTTTTTCAGCCGACTCACTTATTTCCATTTTAATTGAGTTTTCTCTGAATTTGGGTGAATTATCGTTCACATCTTGCACATGYAAACTCACCCTCTGAAGCTCTAACGGGTTCTCCAACACCAGATCTGCTTTCAAAACGCACGAGGGCCTTTTTGCACAAAGGCCCTCTCTGTCGATTCTTTCAGCTATAATTAAATCCCCGGTGTTCAGATTAATGTCACAATATCCTTTTCGATTCCCTTCGAAGTCCACACGAGCCTTTCTAGAAGATAAAATCATTTGGTCAAGACCGAGATCCTTGGCTGCGTTTCCGATAACAGATCCTTTTTTCAGCTCCTCGGAGAAAGAATAGCTGAGATCTGTACGAACCGGGAGGATGATCGAGAAAACAAAGCAGAAGATCAGTTGAAGAGCTGAAAATCCTTTGTCCTCCATCTTGAGCTCAAATGCTTCTCAGACCGCAAATATTAAATTATAAGCTTTAGTTTTTTCTTAAGATATACCCAGATATTCTCAGTAGCTAATTGGAGTCCTATATTTCGCTGCAGTAAGTATCCCGGACAGAAAACCGCTCATTTAAGCAGAAGCTRAAATGCGGTTCTGGGTTGGGTGGTGAAAATATACAGTATACGTTTCCTTCATTTTTTTTCATGAGTAAAGGGCGACACCGTGAGTCTGTGTTAAGTTCTGACAGTACTTTTTTATTGTATTATTCAGAATAACAACCACCTTCTTTATCTAGCTCTCTTCTTTAAGTCGTGAGGAAGTGCTGTTTATTTCCAGAAATCAATAATGTGGTAAAATGCAGGGACTCCCTGGATACATCTGAAGTCCATCACAGAGCCACACAAATGCAATTGGGACACACAAACATCCACAACGACGGAGAAATAAAACATAATAATTAATCTATGTTTTTAGCTTGAGAAAAAAAGAACAGACGAAGCGAGAAAAAAAAAACCCGCCGACATGGGAAGAGGATACAAATCCTACACAGTCTGGAAGTGATTCTGCAAACTTATTTCAAAGAGTCAATAGATTCAACCACTGCTCAACCATACCGCCTGTCTAAACATTAACAAGTTTCACAAGCGCGTCAGGACAGACAGAATGGGGGAAACAAACGAAGCGTCCATCATCAAACTAAAGATGATAACAAAGTTATTAAAATGAACAAAAGAATAAGTAAAATCAAAATTATGTTACTGACAAGTTTTAGTATGAATAAAAAATAGAGGTATAACGAGCAAACTACTGATTTCCTGAATGTTGTTTCAGCACCGAGGACAGCGTCAATTGTTGCCACCAAAAGTATCAACCAAGGGCGGCCTCCTGTGTGCAATTATTGTCTTATTGCACGGACACGGTAATACAACATCAAATAAATWAATTAATTAATTTAATTAAATACGATGTAACGTCAACTGCAATATGGATTTATTAGCAAATTCTTGTCTGCATTCTGTAACAATCTCAAATGAAACATGAATGACAAAACAACAAACATTAAATGATAAAAAAAATCATTAAGATGTTTTTTTTTAATTACGTGATGGTTGATTGAATATTAACAAAATAAAATGTCTCTGGT